CTCGGAAACTATGAGAGATAGAGCCTTAAAACCAATTCCATTCGATTCCAGTCCCGAAATTGTTTGTACGTTGCTCAATTCTTATGCACTGCGAGTTGTTGACTTTGTACTCTTATGAGAATAGAAGGAAGAGAGATCGGACATTTGTACCAACACCTACACGTCACTAAACACCAATAAAATTCAGAAAAACGTTTGTACCATTTTTCTGAATAATCTATGACTGTTTTTGAAGCTCTCAATGGTTTGTACTTGGTCTCATTATCATGTACAGTAAATTGTTCCGTTTGTACTGCGATGGGAGTGGAACTACGGAAGATGAGACGTTTGTACCCACATCAAAACTTCACGAACTACATATGGAATCCATTACGATGATTTTACGGTCGATAAAAATGGAATCAGGTGATTTGATGAGAATAATAATAATAATCATAATGAATAATTTTCGGTGGTACAAACGAGTACTAACGATTTAGAAGGTATCTGTATGTTTTCCTGACGTCCCTCATACATTTAAGATTTTAGAAGGGGGTAAAGTATTGAAGGGGTTGATAAATGAAATGGAAAAATATAGTACATACAAGTACTATCCATGCTGAATCCTTGCTCATGAAAATTTTTTCCGTACCTTCTTTTCCAATGCTGCACGATTTTTCCCGCACCCCTTACGCCTAGTTGTGTAGTGTTCAAACGAAAATGAATGTGGTACATTCAATTACTCACTGAGTACAATCGATACTATAAGAAAAAAAATCGATTTATCAAGCTTCGACTCCAAGTTCACACAGCTCTAACCTCATATAAACAAATCATGCAAAGTGGCAACTCAGTACTCCAATGAAGTGGTTTTTAATATTTTTAATGAGCAATCCTCATGATGGCTGAGAGAGGAGCGCACTTGACTGGCACAGCCGTTGTTAAACCCACAATATTCGAAATAGTGGCACAAGAATCGTTAGCATCGACATTAGAACCAGCTTTCAAAAGAGTGTTCTCTGTAAGAAAAATCATTTGCATTTGCGAGAAAAGGATTCCTCGATGAATTGAGGATTTGATACATTGAATCAATCAGTTTTTAGTGACTTGTAATCTTGAGAGATATGGGTGGCTCGCGCAGTGGTCCGACGAGGCATATGCAGTTTTCCATGGAATGCTGCAGAGGTTCTATTTGAAGAATTATGGTGAGAAATGCCATGAAGACATGGAAAGATAATTTCATTTGAAAAGCTGTGTCCTGGGGAATTTTCTACTCAATTCACTTCAATTGAATTGATTTTTTTGGCGTTACAAAATTTTTTCTTTGGTTTACATATTATGGTGTTGGATATCATGGGTGAGGGCATCAATATGCACATTTACCAATTTTTTTTATCACTCCATAAACTAAAAGAAGATAATATGCTGCAAAACAAAACATCGCCTTATTTTTTTTTCAAAATCCACTAAAAAGTGAACAAGAAACTTTGAACTTTCGTTCCGAATTCCCTTGAAATTACCTCTGCAATTGATCATTCAATACAGGTGCATCATTCGCTGAAACATTTTATGGACTTCAGAGGATAGCAATATTAAACTCTAAACCTACAGGGAAAATATCAAAAAGACAGCAAAAATTGTCACTGATATTTCTGCTCCTTCATCCATATCTGAAGGCCAAAGCGAGTCAATTCGAGTTGGACGAAATAGACGGCAAATCTCCGAAAGAGGTGGCGCATAATTCAATGCACATTTGCTAATTTACAATTGAATGATTGTAAATCAGTCAGGGGAGAAAGGGAGAAACATCTAATTACCGGTAAAATTAAAAATTGTAGAAATGGAAGAGAATACTGAAGGCGTACTTCGTGAAGGCCCACAGGATCTACAATTTCATTCGCGAAATGTCTGGAATGTATTACTATTTATCGTACATCTCGGACAGATCCGCCTATCCAACTCCCCTGCTGCATCTGCTATCAATGACTCTTACCTACTCTCATCCTCACGAAGTGATCTCAATCTCAGAGTTACTCAGCAAGTGGAGACAGGGGACTTTCACGACGCACGATGGGGTGCATCTCCTGCAACGAGGGTTCACGAGAAGTCTAGAATTGGGGGCATTTTTCCTGCAATTCGTCAACTGGTGGAATCAGGAGAATTTTTATAATAATCTCATGTCGTTACCTGTACCACCACCACCTCCAGTAAGTCCACAGCTCCAAATTACACTATTGCACTCGATTCAATTCATTAATTAAATCACATCTTTTGCCTTTTCACACGTACAAAAAAATTATAGGAAAACCTCACAACTTCGCTAGAAAATTCTACTAGTCTTTGGCCGATTCTATTTAAAAATTCAACGGAATGTATTTAATAGAAAAAATCAATAGATTTGATTTTTTGTACAATTTATTCTAGTGAGATATTTTCTGCGAAAATGCCTTCTTGTGTGACATACTTTCTACCGAAATTTTCTATCGTATTTGCCAATTTTTTATGTATTTTTAGTAATTAAAAAAATCTGTAAATTTTCGTCCCTGAGATACTTTTCAAACAATTTGTTTAGAATTTTTAGAATTGTCTGTTTCGATAATGTTAAAGCATCGAGTTCTCAATTTTTCCTGAGATAACACTAATTAATTTACACTTTTGCGCAGGTACCTGACATTGCTAGGAGGTATAAAGGCTTGTGCCCAGTGTGTATAAAGTCTCCAAGCATTCCAACTGCCCTTTCTGTTTCAGGGTAAATATAATAATTATTAAATTAGAAATTTTGCATCTCGAGAACGAGTGGTACAGTACAAAAAATTTCTAACGAAAAAGGTGTTTCGTATTGCATTCCACATAAATTTCTGCTCATTGGTTTAATAATTAATTTTACTCGTTGCAGGTATGTCTTCTGCTATCAGTGTATCCTATTAACAATCCAAACCAATGGGAAATGTCCAGTGACCCACTACCCCGCGAAAGAAGACGACTTAATACGTATCTACAACTGACACCTTCAATCAATTTTTTAAACGAAACTCTCATCTATATTTTAAGACAAATTCCGGTGGCTGTGGTACAGTTCAAATGAACAAAAATAATGTCGAAGTATGTATGTATACTATCAAAATAATACATTTTATTTTAAACAAGTATTTCAGTACATAATTTTTCTCATAAATTGTGCAAAAAATATTGAACATAATTTCCATCGTCACTAGCTCCCCCCCCCCACATTGTTTCCAAGCACTTACAGTTGATAAGGCACTTAATGTTAATTGCAGTAATTGTCGTGGATAATTGATACCTACTAGATCACACGAAAGAACAAAAATTCCACGTTCATGATATATTCATAAAAATAAATCTAGTCTCTAGGACATTCGCTGTAAATACTGTGCACAATGGAAGTCCTGTATGGCAAAAGTATTCGAATTACTAAAATAACTAACTCACAAAGCTAATTTACACTGATGATTAATTACACACAATGTCTGATGTTTGATTAACAACTGTCAATTTCACTAGTTGACTTTGTACATAAAACAATTCCCTATTAATCAACGAAAGAGATAAATTGGAATAAATTGTTAATTCAACAGATGAAAGAGATACGCACCTCAACGAATTCCTTTGAGCCGTCGAGCCTGCGTTATGTACACGAGTTTTACGAAAATAGATGATGAGAAAATTTTGAAGATTGTCAAAAATCTACAGCTCCTCGAAGAAGGCAACTCTGGCTTTAGTCGATCCTGACTTGACTTTTTTCAATGTGCTGTATTTGTTTTCACCCATTCTTACTTGCTCGTCGTGCAGCTGATCGAGTTCACACTGTTTCTCACCCACTTTCATCACTTCGATCTCCGATCGAAGCTCCCTCAGCTGCTCCTGGAGGTGTTTGCTCTTCTCCCAGTAGTCCACACGTTCTTTCTCAATTTCGAGGGATAGTTGATCGACGTCACCATCAGCGATTAAATCGTATGACGTTAGGTCGGAGGGGAGAGGGTCTGCGTCTAGTTGGAGGGTCTGCAGGTCTGCCTGGAGGTCTGAGGGAAGCACTTGGGTTGAGGGGAAGAGATTTGGCACCGGCTGTAAAGAAAACAAAGAATTAACCGCACAATTTAATGATTTGGAATTTTGAAAGCATGAGAAAGATCTCATTGCCATCTCTTGAATTCAATTGTCGAAGAATATTTGAGAATTGAATTTTTGAAAAAGTGAATGAGAATGATCGAATTATTTGAAAATTATTGATAATTACTGAAATAATTCCAGTAATTAAATTTGAAAATTATTAATGGAATTGTTGAATCACTTGAGAAAACAAACCGTTATGGCAGCTGTGTATGCATTTCTACTGAGGAACTCCAGTAATTTCTCCTTCGCCTCCTTCTCAGCGATTCTCGCCCTGAGAAGCTCGTCCTTGAGCTTTTCCGCCTCAGCTGCACGCCTCTCTGACTCCTGCACCAATCTCTCGGTCAATAACTCAGCTTCCCTCGTCTTTCTCTCCAAATGTACTTTCTCCTCTTCAGTTTTCATATTGTTCAATCTTATTCGAGTTATTTCTTGTTCGGCTTCTGAGGCTTTCTGACTGAGTAACATGGCCTCTTCCTCTGCTACGCGACTCTTCTCTGCTAGGAGGTCTGCAGTTTCTTCAGACCTCCTCTGGAATATTTCAATCATTAAACATTTATCAAATTGGAAAATTAATTCGATACTAAAAAAGTTGTTTTTAAACATTTCTCCACAGATTCCCGTTCATTTTTACGTACGAGAGCCTCATTCGCCAGACGAATCTCCTCTTGGTACTGCAGGAGACGCTGCTCCATGGCTGCCTTTTCCCTCTCTGCAGCCTCACGCAGCTGCTTCTCCCTCGCCAATTTATTCCTCTCTATTTGTCTCCTAGATTCATAAACAAAATCATCATTTCATATGTGTCAATAGAGATCATCCAAAAAATCAATAAAAATCTGCAGTGCCACATCATTTTACCGTTAAGCGTTATAATCCTACATATGGCCACAAAAATCTGTAAAAATGTATCTAAGACATTTAATAACAAATCATACATGCAATTTCAACAAATTCTTCAGCAAAAATCTCCTGCAGATTAATAGAAGAACGTCTGAAGCTACTATTTTTATTAAAAGTCATTTTAGTGAATGCAATTTCCCCTATAAATTAATATTTGGAAACAAAAATCTATTAAAATAGGTCCAAGACATTTAATAAGAAAACAAATAAGCAATTTTAACAAATTCTGCAGTAAAAGATTTTCTGCATTTTAGTGGCTGAAATAAAAAACCAACAAATTAATTCGTTAATTATTATTAAATATGGCATGGCTCTAAACTCACCTAGATTTTTCCTCTTTGGCTTGTGCCTTCATCTGCTGTACCTCCATGGAATCCGGTTTCCTCCTCCTCATAAATAAATCGTGGTTCCCAATGCACAGGTCCAGAATCTTAACAAATAACAATTGTGCAGCTTTTTCATTGTCATGGTCGTTCAACCCTAAAGCTACCAATCCCATCACCCATCTTCCAACATCAGATTGTTTCTTTACCAGTTTATTCATCCGAACTTTCAAGGAGAAGAATACAAAATTGGGCGATGACTTGTCCACCGGTTTAATCACAAATTTTTTATCATCAAAACTTATGTGACGTATCTCCGACCACGTGAAGGTCGTCTTTGGTGCCAATTTGTTCTCCTTCTCGTAGATGTTGAGGCCCAGTGCTGTGACGCCCAACCAGAGATCAGTTTCTTTCTTATTCTGCGGGAATAATAATTTTTCAAACCTTCGCGGACTCAAATGTCCAATATTTTTGGAGTTTTTGAATATTTAAATCGCTTTAATAATTAAAATTTCTGCACAAAACGAAAATCTTCTAAAAATTCCTGCCAAATTATTTTAATTTATTTTTCAATTTTTTTAAATTTAATTTTTTTTTTCATTCCATGGTGTTTTACTGTTGAAGTTGTTGTTGATGAAAACTCACGCTAATTGGAAAATAATTGACTCCATACATGTCAAGATCCTGAGCGATCTTGAGATACTCCATTTCAGCCTCATCCCTGGACATTCCACGATGATCAGCATACCAAATCTTTATACGATCCTCCCACATCTCTGGAGTCATTTGATACTGGTCGATGACCCTCTGGGGCAGTAGATCCTCACTCGCCAGCATTCCCGGTCGATAGGATACCTCGTCGTAGTCTCCATACTGCAGGAAAAAAAATCGCATTGATAAAAAGCACTCATAATTTGTTGAATGATGAAAAAACAATTCAACGAGAATTGGTTATCAAAATCATTGTCACGAAGAAGTGAACGATTTTAAACGGTAACTACCTTTGCTTGGACAGCGTAGGAAGCCAGTAAGACTGAAGCCTCTGGTGGACAGTAAATATCCATTGACAGAATGGCTTGCTTCACTTGAAGGAAGAACAGATGTTGCGTGACTTCCTGGACTAGTTCTTCAGCCACATCTTCTGGATAGAATTTCGCGAGGAACATAAAGGGAGTGGTTGGCTGCTGGGAAATTCCCTGGTCCTGAACTGTAATTCGACAGACAATTTACAGATGTTGCTAGTAATGTCTTCATTAATTATGGAATTTGAGAGCATTTTTCCTTTCGATAATTGTTGAGGGATTGGAAGTATTCTGGGGTGATTTGGGGAATTGGCAGGGACGAACCTTTCTTGTCAAGTTTGAGCCAAGATATGAATCCCTTGGCGTCTTCATACTGCAGTCCAAAGTACCAAGTCTCTCTTAGTCCAATTGTTCGACAGACCAAGTCAAATAGGTCTCGTCCAGTTGCTCTCCACTGCAATCGGGAGTACATAAAGGTTGGGTGATAATTTATTGGAAGTTAATTTGAGTTTATTTATTTCACAGGGTGAAATTGGTCAACGTAATCTTCATGTGCCAAATTTGTGCTGTATAATTCGTGAATAGAGTTCGAAGATTTCAAAATTCATCAGCATTTCGCATTCATTAAATTCAAAAAATCTGAAGATTGCACGATTTCATCAATAATAGATTTCATCAGCAAATTCTTCAAATTCAAAATAACAATTGCAAGCGAATTTTTCTCAATAACTCGAAAATTACTAGTTCCAGCGAAAAATCCCATAAGACCTTTCTTATAGTTCACAAAATTGTCCACAAGAAAGACCTTTTGAGAATTTCTCTTAAACCCCTCCACTCCGAAGATATTCACAAAATAATCATTTGATTAACTCTCAATCCAAACCTTCTGCTACTGTAGTACTAATGAGTAATATCAAATCGTTTTTCAACATTCCTGGGAGTCTACACCGGAGCTCATGCAACTGATCACAATGAAAACACCAACAAACTATCCACAAACCTCAAGATTAAACTCCAATTCTGCATCCAAAGTGCAAACTTTAACCGGGAATGATTTGCCAGATTTTTTTCTCCTAAAAGGTGGCATTTTGGGTTTCATTTTTCCTCAACCATCACAAAAGACACTGGACACTGTTGACATAATGAGAGTTATGTACCACTCCAGTTAACAAATTGAATCATTCACGATCGAGACATTGCGATTCCCCCGAATCACTCCGAAACGTTCACCCCAAAACTATCTTGAAGTGAATTAAACAGGAAAATCCCTCGTTTCGGGTGTAAACTCGCGATTCGAAAGGGAGAAACTAAAAATATGCAGAGAACAATTGTTTAAAAATCCCGAGGTCGAGCCAACTCTGCTCCATAATTACACTATCACGCCATTCATACATGTATTTTGACTCTTGCCAAGCCAACAATCTTTCCGAAATGAAGAAAAAAAATAACTGAGATAAATATTCGCTCTCTAAATCGCCATTAACTAGGCGAATTTATGTAGATTTCCACGGTAGAATGGAATTTCATTCGTGGTTATTGCACTGAATAAATAGGGATACAGAGGCGAAATCCTCGCACTTCCGCTGGCGATATTCCCGGTGCGCAAGACAGGAATCCGCCATTGCTTTGGCAGTTTTGTGAGGTTCGCAGAGTTTACTGTTTATTTGACTGGATTTAACGGAATAACATCTCCATGTCAGTCACTAAATTACCAAATGTGAGTACTATGATCGAATATTTATGGGATTCTAAACATATTTGATTTTCTGCTTCAATTTATTGCAGGGCAAATATTCATCAATCTAACCTATAGTCGATTTCGGGGATCAATAGAGAGATTACTGAACGTTTTGTAATGTTATGGAAATTATAACTCTTTTTTATTTTGTTTTTGGTGAGAATGTTGGTCTATAAAATCAATTAAATGATATTTGCATTTTCGACAGAAAGAAATTTTGAAATAATTATTTGTGAAGGAGCGTTCAGAGAATCCTCTCCTCCAGAGAATTTTTCTTGTAGGAAATCCAAATTAGTTGATATTCTGGGTCAACCTCATTTTTATTAACGTGAATTCAAGACAAAATGGTTTTAATTTTGTCATTTCTCTTCACTTTTTCATGAATTCCATGTAAGTCTCGGTAGAATGATCTGCTAGACGATTCTGCAGGATAATTCTACCGACATTACTTATATTTTATAGAAAATTCTACAGAACGATCCGTACAAACCGTTTTTGATCACAGATAATTCATCACTTTTTATTTATAATTCTGCTGGTTTCAATGAAAATTTTGCTTCGTGAAGAGCTGCTCCATAGAATAATCTTGAAGATGATCTCATTAACATTTTTCGCACATATTTCCAGCGGTTGTACTACTTCCCAAAACCTAACCGATGGCAAAACGGTATTGGCGCTGAATTACCAGAAGCATATAAAAAATTCTGGCGCGAGTGGAAGCTCCAGACGCCCACTGCAGTCCATTACATCCCGGAGGAGGGAAAGTACAAGTGGGATGAAAATCGCCAGATGGTGTAAGCATCCTTGACAATCTCCTCTTCATCATTGACTCAATATTTAACAATTCATTATGAATCCATAGACTGCCAGTCCAAAATATTCCACTCCCTCTAAAATACCCCAAACAGCTTGATTATGGAATTTGGGGTGGGGAGGCCATCGTCCAGGGCTTCCGCAAGAAGGGAAAATACTGCAGGAGAGTAGCCAAGTTCTGGGTGCCCACGCTTCGAAATTCCGTTGTTTACAGCGAGGTTTTGAACAAATACATGAAGACTACTGTGACAATGAGGACTATTGATTTGATTCATGAACATTATGGCTTCGATCACTATTTGCTCAAGGTATTTCCGAGGGCATTGACATCTTGATGATTTCCTGATTATTATATTCAGATGAAACGTATCCTTTATTGCAGACACCTGCTTGTGACTTGAGATCACTGTTAGCTGTTAAACTCAAGAGGGAAATTTTGATAGCCTTGGCTGATAAAACGTTGTATCCAGACGATCCTGAGAAGCGAGAAGAAGTTTACAACAAATATAAAGATTATCTATCTGCGGTGAGAATTTAATTCTTTGTTGTTCAATATTACGGAGTTTTTGGAATTTTGCAATTAATTAAAAAAACCTCAAAATTATAAAAATGATGAAAACATTTCGAAAACATATTCTAGTACACGAGAGAGGAAATTGACTGGTACGGTCTGTCCTACAAAGATGCGACTAAAAAGTGGATAGCAATGAAGGCGCCTTCCCTGGAGCCAGAGCCATTCAAGATCAAATACAGATCAGAATTAATTGCTAAACTAAAAGCAGCCAAAATTGCAGAGGCTGCTTATGCAGAGGTTGAAGAATCAAGGTAAATAAGAATTTTTAGATTAAAAAATAGTAATCATTCTCGTTGATCTTCACTCGTTTTCTTCTTCTCTGCAGTAAATCCTGGATTTCTAAGATTAATCCATTCTCAAAAACTCCGAAGACAGAGTGATGAAACTCAGCATCTCCAATGTAAATAAACAATAGCAAATAAATTGCAATGAAGAACAGTTTCATAACCAAATCAACAATTTATTCATACTGATTTTATGCAGTAAGGATCCCAAATAATAAACAAGTTACACCAAACTATAGCTTTTTTGTGGAACAACAGAATTATTCGGCACAAATTCATCTAAGAAAATTGTTCTAACAACGATTAATTGACAATTCAACTAAATGTTCATGAAATACTGCACTCGAGGTCCCCATCCTTGGGCAAAAAATTCAGTAGCGATGCGATTGCCCTTGTTATGTACGTCATTGTACCATAACTACCACTTGGTGCACTGTCGTAAAAGTGTTGACAAATGTATGCAGCTCCACCGCACAGGAGTGTTCCCAGGGGTGTTGTTTCACGTTTCTCCTTGGGTTTGGCACAGCAGAGTGTTGCATCGCCATCAATTTTCACCTGTCAACAAATTTTTCCTGTACTTTGACCCTTCCAGAACTAAAAAAAACTCGCAAGAAGAATTTTTATCAAATAAAATGACGAAAAGACGACGAGAAATGTTGAAAATGGAGAGAAATATCGAATTTCGATTTAACAATATCTTCAAGACTCATTTATAAATATTTTTATTTTAATTATGCATTGGGTAATTGTGAATATTCTCGGAATTATTTAGAGTTGACAATATTCTTGATTTTGTAATTATTGACTTTTGACAATTTTCACAGTAATTTTTTGCAATTTTATTAATGATAACTTTGTAAAATTCATTCTAACAATTTCCATATGAAAATTCTCGTGGATTTGTCATATCCTTTTATGCATAAAACTAAAGTTCGAATTTTGAAAATTAAATCATTATAAAGTTATCCCAAAAAAAGTTTGTACAAAAAATTATCGAAATTATTGAAAGCAGAAAATATTTGTTAAGCATAAAACAATGATCCTCACCTGGTCCTCCAGGAAGATAGCATTGGCCTTATGCACCAGATGTTCCACAGCAATCAGCCCCCCCAGAGAAGCCACAACATTGTACTCAGTGACTAAAGTCAGTACCATGAGTGCCTCCACAATGAGTTGTCTGTACTCAGGCTGAGGAATAGTATTGAGAACTGTTTCAACAGCCAACGCGAACTTGAGTTCCCCAGAGGTCATCTCCTGCGTCAGGTTCTGCGGGAGGACTTTGCCCTCGATGACGAGCCCCTGACAGCGCTCGAGGACATGCCAAACCCTGGGATAGAAGTCTCGGGGGACCCTGTTGAGCGCCCCATCGAGTCTTCTCCTCCTCAGCCACTGTCCCTGCCTGTCAGGCTCCATTTCGTTGCCATCAGTTTGATCGACATTCAGAAGACCCCCTATCTGGGATTTCTTGCTGAATCTGGTCGATTTACAGGAGATGACTGAGAAGTTTCCACGTCCAACACTGCTGATTGCAAATTCCTTGCCACTCATTATGTGATGAAGGAGATTCTTCATTTCGAAGGGGGACAGATTCAAAAGATGCTCCGAGGCTTCCTCACCAGTGCAAATTAACGTTCTAGACAGTTCTGTTGCCATTACTTGGATTATCAGGCCAACTCTGAGTCTCAGCATCTCGTGGAACAGCTGGGGCTCTGTTCTTATGAACATCGCGAGGTACACAAGCAGTTCCTGGGTCAACATTGCTGTACTCTCGTCGTCTCCGTAGGCCAAGTGAATCAGGGATCGCAATTCGTTCTCTGGGAGGGGCGCTATTATCGTGTGCTCATTGACAGGTGGCATTCCCACTGTCACTTGCTTCTGACGCACCAGAAGATCAGTCACTGCTTTCGCCAGATCTTCAACACGTTTCCCCAACATTCCTGCTGTGTGACGAACTATCCCCCACATTTTTTGCTGACAAGCCCGCTCGTACAGGGATTTCAAGAGGTCTTTCACCAGAACGGGGTGACCGTTCTCTACCATTCCTGTGTGGAATTGGAGACCCTGGGAGTCGACCTGAAGGGAGATTGGCGGTTAGAGGGCCACTGGGAATTTGGGGATTTTGAGTTTATGGGTACATACCACTTTCTAGTGTGGGGTTTGCATTGGATTTAAGATTCAATCGTTAATTCATTTTGGAGTTATGCGGGGAATGGAAATAAATGGAGCTTTTTCATGGGTAACAAAATTGAACATTGGAGTTGATTCAATTTTGAACTATATTGACATTCGAGACTAAAGTCGCCTGAATTTTCATTATTCTCAAGTATTTTCGTGGTCGTAATTGAAGTTAATTTTTTAATTAGTTGAAAGTTGAAGGAAAAAACACATTGTCTTGAATTAAAACAGAATTTTTGTCGGGATTTTCAAATTTACCAACAAAATTTAGAATTGTAGTCGTTTTAATCTTCTAAATCAGTTGAATGTAGACAAACTACGTGAAGCTGATGAGAATTTTAAATAATTTACAAAGTCAAACAACAGTTGTCTTAATTTTCCTAATTTCTATTCAATTTTCAAGAATTGGACTGAAGTCTCAGTTTTAAAAATCTACAGAATTCGATATCAACGACCCCATTAAATATTTCATATTTCAACAATTTTGTATGCAATGAATGTAATTATTACCAGATATTGTAAGATATCTCCCTGCTCCTCGAGACTCTCGGTCTCCCTGAGCATCGCCATGAGTTCTTCAACTTCAGTATCAGCGTATTGTGTGTCTGAGGGATTTCTGTTCCTCAGTGGCTTTGGAGACGTCTTCCAGGGCATGACTTCCTCGGTCGGCGAGGGTGTGCGGTTGGTTCGTACATTGGGTGATGAAGTCGGTGACAATGTGGTCGTGTCAGTGACTTCGATAAAGGGATTCGTTGACAGTACCACTGAGGGCCTTCGATCCTCCCCTGCCATTCCCAAAATTTCAGCTGAAAATTAATTTTATCGAAATTAATAATTAATTTTGCAAGAATTAATAATTAATTCGATTAAAACTCGTAACTGATTTAACGAAGATATTATCAATTCAATTGAAATGGAGATGTTAGAAGGGAATATCCTAGATTAGATATTAATTTATTCAATGATCTTTTCAATGAAGGACTTACGCTCTTGAAGAATGATAGGAACTGCCGCTGCAGGCACATAGCAAATGGGTTAGTTATCCAGATTATTCTTTTGGCTAATGTCCAGGCAACATGCAATCATTCCAACTGTAATGGATCAACTACCAATCATGCTTTTGTGTTATTACAAACTTACGTTCAACTGCGATGGACCTCGTTTTTTTAATTGCTCCTTTAACGGACATCCTGCGGCGTAAGTTTTTACCGGTCCGGATGGCTGGACCTCTCAGGAGGCCTGCCCTGTGGGGCAAGGCCCGCATCATGTGTTCCTCCAGGTACTGATAGACCTGATGCATATTTTGGAGGTAAAAACACTCGCTTTCAGGTGTTAACATGAGTTTTATTAAGGCTGTTTTGTTTTTAGCTCAAAAATAGTGACAAAAATATGTGTAAATAATATGGATGAGTGTTTTTTTTAAGAAAGAGGAGAAAATATTATATCTGCTCTAAAATCCTGGAGAAAAGTAGAATTTTCACCGAAAGATTGAGTTTTTTTCAATGAATTTCTGAATAAATTAGCATATTAACTCAATTAACTCCTTATTGTTTAATGAATTGATGAAGTGCTACAGAAAAAAGCCTCAATTCACCTGAGGATTCAATTTATCCGGTCGTCCATCCTCAGAACTCCCCAAGAAACTCAAATTCGTGATACAAGAGGTGCTGAGAAAATCGTTCATATTCCCCAACGAAACACGAGTTCCATTGATGTATCCACTCTTCAGCTTCTTCATCGTGGTGATCATGGCCAGTGGTATTTTCCCCTGATCTATAACCCACGAGAGGCACTTGATGATGAGAACAATCAATGAATTTTGCGGCATTTGTTAATTGAAAAAATGCAGAGGGACGCTTCAGAGAAATTAAAACATTAGTGGATCTGTTTTTGCCAGAGGTGATGAGTCCTCTTTTTGGCATACCTAGGTGATTATGGGTAGCAACGAGTGTCACTGTTGGTCTTCCCAGCATTTGCTTCCAGTTGATACCGAGAAAGGCCAGATTGGTGGTAAACGTATCGGCGAGGAAGGCAGCGTCATTCGTCACGTAGAATTCATCGGCGTCAAAGTTCTATCATGCACATAAAAATAACGCACACACACACGACTAAATATCCTAGGCAAAATATCTCGAAACTCATCATCTCGAATTTAATTGATCACTGTTCAAAATTTTTTGCTGAAATTTTCGGTACAATTTGTGGAAATATCTGTCACATTATAGTTACACTGACATTCAAATGAGAAGCCAGGAAAATTCAGGTGAATATATTCGTGAATTTGGAATTAATTCTCGTCTTTCTGCGGGTCAAAAATTTTTCATTCCATTGAATTTTCAGTTGAATGTGAAATTTCATGATCTTCTTCCCCTTAAATCCATTCAATGTCAATTTCTTCAGAAATACTACTCAATTGCCCACGATGTTTCAATTTTTTCCTTTGCAAATGTGTCTTGTTTTTTTTCCTGTTCATTCTGAAATTGAGTGATGACCATGGATTTTTCCCTTTCATGCTGAATAATTTTGATACAAGTTCACCAATTTTTTAAATGAAATGTGAAAAAAATTCTCTATAATTCCACTGAAATTTCAAGGAAGTTCATCACAGAAGAATCAAAATTTTATGGAAAAATCGAGGGAAAGTGTGAATTTCAGGTTAATTCTACAATTTTTAATCAATTGAGCGAACTTCATTGAATTTACAGTGAAATTTGGAATTCTATTATTTTTCTCTTCTCAAAATGACGAGTCACCTGTCGATGAAATTTCAATTTCTTTCCAACAGTGATTGAGTGTTATTCCAGTCTGTCTATTTTAAATGAAAACCTCGCGTGCAAGCGAATGAGTGTTATCACAATGAATGAGAAAAAAACTGAAAAGGAGAGGTGAAACTTGGGATTGAAATTAAAATGTTAATGTTTATATTATTAAATTGCTTCGAAAATTGCAGAAAACCCCAAAGGGAAATAATTAAATCCAATCTTAACAATTTACCTAGATGAATGTTCTTGAGTGGCATGACCACGAGTGGACGACCTAACATATTCTGCCAGCTAGACTTCAAGAAATTAATTTCACCTTTGAATATGTCGATCATAAGCTCGTAATCCGATGCGATGTAGAAGCGAGTCATATCTGTTAACTAATATCAACGGGGGAATTTGGTTTTTGATAATACAGTTGATATACACCAGAGAATTACAACGTTTTGCCATTGACGATGAGAGTTTCGAATTAATTGAATTGTATTTATCATTTTTGGTCTCTTACCTGTGGTGTGAATGCAAATATTCGATCGTGGAGGGAGTATAGTTTACTTGTGCTGAGGATTCCAACGTCTCGGGATTTTCTGCCTGATAAACCCAGTTTTCTATTTCTTCCTGGAGAAAAAAAATTATGAGTGAGGAGATGTATATCTGGAAATATTTAACAATCAATTCATAATGAATTTCAATAACTTCAATTTTCTCAGTAAATAAAATAAGTGGATAATTGCATTTTTTTATAAATGACTAGAGTTATTATTGCTAATAAATTAGCAATGTACTTCCAAATGAATTCTCTTTTTGAAATTCTCATTTCACTATTTTCTTCTCGTATTTTTTATGTTGTAGTACAATCATCAATTGAAATGTCATTAAAATTTGGCGTATTATTGTGTTCTGTCAAATGATTTGAATTAGTTTCCAATTTTTTAATTTTTTAATTTTTTTCGAATCTGTATGAATTAATGAAGATGTAAAGAATTAATGGAACATTTCAATGAATTTCCAACAGCACATCAGTCCTAATGGGTCGACCACTTACCTAAATAAGTGTACAAATGGCTCAGTACTTTGGCAGGCTGTACCTCAATAGGTGCGACTTCAGCAATTGTTTGAACATGTATATCATGTTGTGCGATTTTTTCTCTTATCTCGGCATCTTCAGCAAGGATAACAACCTGGAAATCACCCCTCAGAATTAGTTCAAACGTACCACAAATTGGACTAAAGAATCCTGACTTCTTAATAAAAAACAAATTGAAATAGCAAACTGGCAAAACGGTTTAAGTCCTCTTATCTCCCAGTTGACATTTTGAGGAATATTTCCGAATCTAAGGGAGATATCCAAATTTTCGTAATCACATTTGTTGTAGCTCTCAACCGGCTCTATAAAAAAGGTTATAACAAAAATGTACCCATGTCCCTTACTTCCCGAGATATTAATAGAAAACTGGCCAATAGTCAAAATAGACTTGAACCATTTTACCACTTCGCTACTGAATTAAACAAAAAAGGTTAAAAATGAGAGCGCAAGACCTCGATCGAGCCATTCCCGCAGGTAATATTCAAATAATGCAAAGACCGCAAAAAATCCGAGAATGAATCCCTCACCTGCACCACAACATCAGGTTTCTTCTCGCTGCAGAGTCTCCTATTAAGCGGATCAAGTTCGCCAACAGCAAGAAAGCCCTCCTGCAGCAGTTTCCCCAGAATATAAAGCGACTGGGCCCACTTGAAGGGGCACCTCCCCAAGGCCTCCCTGGGCTGGCTCCCGGGCTCGGCATACTCCGCAGCGACATTCTCCTGGGCCACCGCATACAACTCGGGCACAAGCCTCATGCCATCCTCCGACTTGACCATGATCTCCTCAAGAGCCTGCGTGTACTCAGCGACGACCTCCTTGTTCCCTTGAAAGCAGTAATCGAGAATGAGATAGCAGAAGAAGAGAGGCCACTCGCACTCGATATTCTCGAACATCCTGAGCTCCCAGGGCTCGTAGTAGAGCCTGTTGGGATCCTCCCTGGGGGTTCTGTAGCCATCCCTCAGGAACCTCTTGCAGCCGTACTTCCCCTGGAGCTTCTTGGTGATGGCGTCCCTCGTCAGTTGAATTAAATTCGGCTCGTCGACAGCGAAGGCTGGAAAACTGATGATGGAGAGTAGTCCACTGTCGAGCTCCTTGGAGTTGCTCTCCCTCGGCAGCATGGACTGCAGGACAGCCTGGCACTTCTGCGCCTCGTCTGCCAGCACATGAATGACCGAAGTCGGCCCACCACGTGCCCCAAAGAGATCGAGCTCGTTCATCGCCTCCATCGCAGCCTTCGCCATCCCAATGCTGCTGGCATTCAGCTCTGGAAGGCCGTGATTTGTCTTGTCCCCTCGCTCCCAAATCCCGTAGTCTGGCGTGCAGTACGCAGACTCAATGTAGAACACCAGGTTCTGGATGAACGCAACTTCGTCCAGGTTGAAGACAATCTGCAGTCCTGAGGCTGTCATCTGCGCCAGGACGAGGAGGTAAAGGGAGACGGCGTCGATCTGCAGGTGTCCCCACTCGTTGTCACCCACCACTGACTGGCCAGTTGCTGAGCTGTACTTGGCGTGAAGGGCGTCCAGGGGATTCTGAGTTATCTTGAACTTCTCGACCTTGTCCTTTTGCTGCATCATCGCCATCAGCAGACCCCTCATCAGCTTCACACAGCTCTGCTCCAGCTCGTACGTCTTGGCTCGATCCTCGTCGACGTCGGCGATCTTCTTGTACGCCATTGACAGCCCCCAGACTGCCAGGATGCAGTAGATGTTGTCCCTTATCCAGGCGTGGTCGATGTCACTGCTCGCTGGGAACAGACCTGTCACTGGGTTCTGGTAGTTCATTATTATCTTCTGGACCACTCGCTGGTAGTAGTCCAGTCGCACTCCTGAGTTACTTCGACTCCGCATTTTTATGTCCGTGTACGCCACGATTTATTGATTGAATAATTCGATGTTGTTTGATTAAGTTTAAGTCTAATTGCTGTGGGCTGGGGGTTCGTGCGGGAGGTTAGATTCACCTTGGAGTCGATAATTGAGGGGACGGGGTGACGAGACTGCTGCTGGTTGTATTTATTCTCAACACTTTCCAACTCTTCGACGATCCATTTTTCATTCACTGACGTCTCATCGATCGCTCCATTCGCATTTTCATTCGCAATTAGGGGAACAATGTGAAACGAATGTCAAATGAATTACATATTTGCACATTTTTTGTCACGTGACGGATATTCGAAAATAAAAAATTTTTGCCGGCCGTTGGTAAGGGAGGGAGCGAGGAGAGAGCGAAATAATTGGGGAAAATTCAGGTATTTTAATTAGCTGGAGGGCTTTCTTGGATTGAGTAATGTTTATTGCAATTGGTTAGTGTGTGGTGAGAGGTTTTTTTAATATTTTTGAGGGGAATTTTATCTATTGATTTGACCGCCGTTGTTACTAGTTGGCGGGAGAAATGCAAGATGGCGGCATCGAGTTGTTGACGGTACGCGAGAGTCGTTCGAGTCGCGGGTTTTTTTCGTTTTACGGGTCTTGTGTTTACTTTTGAGGTGATTGTTAATTAGTGAGGGGTTCAGGATGAGGAGAGGATCGTCCGGAACGGTGAGTATCCCATTTTTTACGCCTTGAATTTACTTTTCAGGTGATTGTGGGTGGGATTCCACAGGGAATGAACTTGGGGGGAGGCAGGGGCTCCTTGAATCGTTGATATCTTGCGATCTAATGGGGCGATTGGGGTAAATCGAGGCTCATTTTGATGCTTGAAAAAGTGTCTTCAAAATGAGAAAGAAATTAGTGACTTTCACTGCTGATCGCGAGTTATTGGCGACAGTCTAGAGTGAAATCTTGGAGAGACAGAACCACGTGACCCCTGTGGCGTCTCAAAGGGTTTTCTTTGTCTCCCATCATGAGATCGTATTGGAAGTGACCCATGGCCGTGATGACGAGTCGAAGCTCTTCTGCATCTCCAATAACTCCACAACCCTCCCACCTACGATAATCATCACCCAAACATTCGCTACAGCAATCAATTGAAACACAAATCAGTAGTGAGGTGGTTAGTCGATTTAAGTCGAGCTCCCAGTAGAGTTTTTGGTGAATAACTCGGAATTTGAGGGAGATAGCGAAATTTTTGTAAGATCTTTTTCGATAGGCTTGACTTTTCTTTACAAAAAATATTCCTAGGAAAATTTTGATAGCTCCTTCAGAATTTGGGATATTTGTCGAGAACTGGCGCTGAAATGGAATTGAAAACCGTTTGGTCTTCACTACTGGAATGTTTCCGGTCCTGACGGGGTCCCATGCCCCAATAATTCCACCCCCTGAAACATATTCCTAACGAGGTAGACTCCGAGGATAATGAACGGCTGTGTGGCATCAATTTCGTCGTGTGCTCCCTCGAAGCCGGTGCCCAGCTGTTTTCCAAAAATCACCGACTAGAGAGAGACAAACCGGGGACAGGGATGCTGCGGGGCTTTGGCATGAGGAATGGAGGGTGGAAGAATGTAGCTGAGGTTAGTCATTCGTGCTTGAGCTACAGCCAGAACGTGACACAGCTGGTTGAAGGTCTGAAATCGAGTAGAAACAAGAGATGAGACCCTGGCGCGAGGGCATTAACGATTCTAGGAACAACAAACTCCTGTTTCATCAATCATTGAATGATGAGAGACACTGGTGATGATTGAAGTCGACTAGAACATGCATGAAAACATTGAGAGGACTATACGGAACTTGCACGATTTTTTTCGACTTAAAAATCTCATGTTCAGGATTTAAGTCATTATTTAGAAAAGAGTCTTCCCTGATTCCTGTCGTTTAGCCATTCATAGGCTATAAAGGATGTATAAATGGGGGGATTAGGAAGGACTGCGCTCCATCCAACAGAGCTTTGTCTGTATTCACCCACAAATCCACAAGTTATGTTGCTAGAAGAAAACTCAAGAGGAAAAACCTGAGCAACTCAACTAGCGAAATTAAAAGAAGAAGTCGAAAGTTTCAAACGACTTGACTGGCGCCTCAGTGGAACCCCAATAGCAACTGTAATATTTCCTCTCATCCCCTCGATCCAGTGGGAGGGAAAGGGAATCATAAAATTATGGAACTTGGGCTGTTTTCGATACACAACAAGAACTCCACCCACAGCAACTCTCATTCTTCAACATCTCATAAATAAAATCCGTAATGAGGCACGTGTCTGGAAATAAAAATGATTGACGAGAATAATCATTGAATGAGAGACACTGGTGATGATTGAAGTCGACTAGAACATGCATGAAAACATTGAGAGGACTATACGGAACTGGCACGATTTTTTTCGACTTAAAAATCTCAAGTTCAGGATTTAAATCATTATTTAGAACAGATTCTTCCCTGATTCCTGTCGTGTAGCCATTCATAGGCTATAAAGGATGTATCAATGGGGGGATTAGGAAGGACGGGGCTTCATCCAACAGAGCTTTGTCTGCATTCACCCACAAATCCACAAGTTATGTTTCTAGGAGAAAACTCGAGAGGAAAAACCTGAGCAACTCAACTAGCGAAATTAAAAGAAGAAGTCGAAAGTTTCAAACGACTTGACTGGCGCCTCAGTGGAACCCCAATAGCAACTGTAATATTTCCTCTCATCCCCTCGATCCAGTGGGAGGGAAAGGGAATCATAAAATTATGGAACTTGGGCTGTTTTCGATACACAACAAGAACTCCACCCACAGCAACTCTCATTCTTCAACATCTCATAAATAAAATCCGTAATGAGGCACGTGTCTGGAAATAAAAATGATTGACGAGAATAATCATTGAATGAGAGACACTGGTAATGATTGAAGTCGACTAGAACATGGATGAAAACATTGAGAGGACTATACGGAACTTGCACGATTTTTTTCGACTTAAAAATCTCAAGTTCAGGATTTAAATCATTATTTAGAACAGATTCTTCCCTGATTCCTGTCGTGTAGCCATTCATAGGCTATAAAGGATGTATCAATGGGGGGATTAGGAAGGACTGCGCTCCATCCAACACAGCTTTGTCTGCATTCACCCACAAATCCACAAGTTATGCTGCTAGAAGAAAACTCAAGAGAAAAAACCTGAGCAACTCAACTAGCGAAATTAAAAGAAGAAGTCGAAAGTTTCAAACGACTTGACTGGCGCCTCAGTGGAACCCCAATAGCAACTGTAATATTTCCTCTCATCCCCTCGATCCAGTGGGAGGGAAAGGGAATCATAAAATTATGGAACTTGGGCTGTTTTCGATACACAACAAGAACTCCACCCACAGCAACTCTCATTCTTTAACATCTCATAAATAAAATCCATAAACAAACAAAGGTCTTTCGCTCGCGCTTTTCAACTACCCCAGTAATGAGGCACGTGTCTGGAAATAAAAGTGATTGACGAGAATAAAGACGAGAGCAGTGAAAAAAGGAGATGTTAATAATAATAATTCAAATTTTGTTTGCTGTCGAATGCATCGGGGGAGAGGTACTCCGCCCCGGGAGTCTTCCTTGTTGCTGTTACGAGGTTGTGATGGCAGGTTACAGGGGCTTTTAGAACCTGGTGGTTAAAGAACCGAATGTTGAAAAAAAAAAGAGAAGAAAGAGGGCAATGGCGAATGAGAGGCGCCTAGACGCTTTATCTTTAATTGCATGGTGAGCGTATAGGACTGCGCTCATCACCTGTTTCGAAATGTACTAAGCACTGATGGTTAAGATCTTACCGAGAACGTCAATCATACACCTCGTTCAGGAGGATGATGAACTGACAGTTGATAATTAATATTTTATCTCGGGGGATCAATTTTCAGTGGGGAAAAATGCAGAAATGAGGGGTGAATGGATGGTTTGTCCAGGAAGCTGTGGCACAATGGGAGTGTATTAACTTTCAAATGAGAAAATGTCTTCTTGAGGATATTCGCGGAGTTTAGACATTTTTTTTCGCGGTTTCTCACGTTCAACTGCATTAATTTACAGTATTTTCAGAATTTATATGTAGAAAAACAGGGGCATAAAAACATTTATTGAAAATTATATTCTCTCGAGTTTTACGCTTTGCATTGGGGTTTTTATGGATTTAATGCTTTCGCATTAAATGCATAGAAAAAGAGCATGAAAAAATTATTGAAAAATATATCCTCTCGCGTTTTGCGCATTGTATTGGGGTTTCCATGGATTTTATACTTGTGTTTTTTTGCTGCAAATTATCAATTGCCTTTAATCTTAGAGTTGCGCTTGCAAATGAGAGGGAGAAAAAAGTAGAACTCTTAGTTTACTTTATATCTGTAAACGAAAGAAAGAAAATACTGTTCAAGACAATTTTTCGATCGGAAAAAATTCGAAAGTCTTTCAGGAAAATTCACAATATAATTGGAAAATTGTAATTTTTCAAAGTGACGACGTTTTTCGTGAGTAGTTAATGAACAACTAATTTTTTATCCTCGACACCGTCATTCTTTTGGAGTCGTGGCTAATTCGTTCATATTCTGAGTAGAAAAATTCAAAAAATTTCAATGTACTAGAATATTCTGAAAAATGAAGAGCGAATAGACTCGCTCGTTGTCCAGACTGTTGAGAAACTAGGGAAACTGGAGATGGATCGTAAAACACAAGGCATGTCATACAGCGTCAGCCGGATTAGCCTATAAAAAATCGATAATTCCCGTTGTTCTCCACCTCCTTTGAAAAAATTTCCTGTTTCTCGCGTCATGAGCTCATATTTTTGGGGCTAAAACAGGAGAACAAGACGGTGGGGAAGGGAAACGAAGCGGCCTGTAATTAGAAACATTCATGGGTGGAGCACAGGGGTAAAGGGAGCGCCATCCATAAGATCAACATTCGGCTGCGGGGTAATAAAATAAGCTAGGCGTGGCGTAGAACATTTTGAAGGCCGTTTTTAGTTTTTGACCTTATGGGAGGATCCCACGTCGAAAGTCTGTTCCTTTTTTTTGATGTAACGAAATTCTTCGAATCTATTGTTCTTTTTGGCGCTACAAACCGATTTCTCAACGAATGTAGGATGGAATATTCTGACCACATGAACGGAAAAATGTCCTGAACTCGATTAAATTTCCGGTTTAATTGTGTCGACTCACTCTGCCCAGGCATTTCCTAACGAGGCCATAATTCAAGGCCATAACACCCCACTAGGATTCAATGACCGTTACAGGTAGTTAATTTATTCCCAACGATCCATAATACTCAATTAACTGGGCTTAATTGATTA